AGAAAGAATAAATCATTTTAAAATTTTAAATTTTTTTGGATAATAAAAGAAAAAAGGGAAATTTTAAAACTGATTCTAGTAAAAAATAAAGACGTAATAAAGTTTAAAAAAAGGGGGTAAAAAAAATTTTATTATTTTTTTATATAAGGAAAATTTTCAGAGAAAAAAATTTCAAAATCTATGGGGAAAAAAAACCCCTTTGTAAGTGGGGGAAAATAAATCAGGGTGCGTTTGATTAAACCTTTGACTTTGGGGCATGAGGGAGACAGAAGTATTAGTTTTAAAAAAAACAGATTGGGGTTTTTAAAATTCCCCTTCATTGCCGAAGAGCGAAAATTTTAAAAGGGTCTAATAAATGTCATACAGGTATTTAAACCCCAAAAATTTAAATTTTGAAAGGGCCATGCAATATTTGATTTTGGGGTCATTCTCCCGGGGGCCCAATGCCCATTTTAAAAATTTATAAACCGGTGATCGGGGCCAAAAGGTATTTTAAAAATGTTTGCAAACTAAAAAGGGGTATACTGTTATTTTTAAAAATTTAATTCTATTCCCGAAACGCAGAAAATATCTAAAAACTGTTTCCCCAAAAAAAATGACCGTGTCTTCATTTTTATCTTCAAACGTAAGTGAACACTGATATTTTACAAAATTGACATTTTTTAAAATTGCTTAGATTAATTTTTTTAGAAAAACTTTGTATATCCCGATATTGTTAAGCTGGTTCATTGAAAAAAAGAAAAAATTTTTTAAAAAGGGGCGTCACGAAATGAATCCATTGTGGAAATTTTTTTGGAAAAATAACCCTTTCTCGTAATTTGATAAAATTATTCTTGAATTGAATCTTTTTATTTTTCCAAAAAACAGTTAATACTTTTTGTAAAATTTTGATTTTTGTAAAATATTTGGCTCATCTAAAGCAGTTTTAAAAGTGACGGTGCTATTTTTTCACTGTAAAGTTGAGTTGAATAAGTAAGTATATTTCAAAATATTGACTTTTTAAAAGGAGATTGACCAACAATAATAAGAAAATGTTTTATGAATACAATACATAAACGATTAAATTATAAAAGGAATGCCCAATCTTTTTTTAAAATTACACACATTCACAATACATTCTAAAGAATATCTATAGACATTTCCGTTGATCATAAAGGAATATCTAAGTTATTTTTGTCTTATTAAATGTAAAATTTAACCATTTAAGACAAAAAAAAGACAAGTAATTTTGGGATTTTCAACCTTTGTTCACCGAACGATTTACCCTGTGGATGTGCATAATGTCCCACTGGGTGCAAAATATATTTCTTTATATTTCCTAGTAATGTGTATACAAAGTTAGATGGGATAACGTTACATCCAGTTATATTTTTTTTGTTTAATAAATTATTGATTAAACACACTTTAAAAAGTTGGCTAATTCCGTGACCTTTCCGGGTGTCATTTTTTAAAGGTCTAGTGAGTGTTTAAAAACCAGGAACAACAGTTATAAATTTCCAAGTCAGTATCCAGGGTGAATTTTGACAGGTATAATCAAGATACTTGAATTTTAAAAAGAGTACGTTTGGTTATAACCTTAACCTTTTCCTTGGATTACATAATGTGACAATAAAGTGTCTTGATATGGCAACATCGAAAGACGGGCAACTCCGCATCAGCTCAGGTGATTTTTTTTAAACATTCTTTACTTAAAATGCTTGCCGACGTTCTTGTTAATTTTACTTTCTTTGCTTAAAAAAATCCTTTCTCTAAGTTTGTTGACTTTCAAAGATGAATATTATTATTTATCAATGTGCTGTATACCATAGAATGATTTTAAATGATGCTATTAGTTAATTAATAAAACCAGTTCAACTTCTAATTATCAAAAATAGGCATCTTCTAAAGTTTGATTCTACATTCTGTCATAATAGTAAACATTTCAATAGCATAAAATAGAAAAATGTTTAAATTTATTTTCATTTAATTTTTTAAAATTTGGAAAATAGGGTTTAATTTGTTAGTAAAAAAGAAATTCATACCTTTTTTTGCATCCCAAACCCCCGTGAATGAAAAGAGTCTGTATTTAAAGTAAAGGCTATTTTTTTTCAATGTATTTCACCCCTTTTGGTATTTTTGATTTTCTCCCTGAATCATGTTATTTTATAAAAAAGGACCTTAAAATTTCCACATTTTTTTGATTTTGAATGCAATTTTTAAAACATGTAAATGAAACTAAATTTTGTAATTTTAGGAAAAAAGAACATAAGTGTCTTTAACTTCTAAAAGTTTTTAGAGAAAAAAGGGGGGGAAATAAAGTCCCGAGCGAAAAAAAAAATCCCCCGTTTTTTGCCAAATAAAAGGGAAAAAGGGGAATTTTTTTTTTATTTTTCTAAGCTTTTTATTTTAAAATTTTAAAAACCTTTTTTTTTGGTATTGATTAACCTCTAAACTATAAAAAAAGGGGAAAAGGGGTTTTATAAAAGGTTTTAAAAGGGAAAATAAACGGTCAAAACCAGAAAAGTGAATAAAAATTAAATATTTTTGGGGAAAAAAAATTTTTTTAAACTTTCCCTAATACTTTTAAAAATAAATCCCTAAAAAAAAAAATCATTATATACTTTTATAAAAACGGGAAAATGTAATTTTTGTTCATATTTAAACAAAATGTGGTGGATCCCTTGCATATAATTAATGTAAAAAACATAATTTGGGCTAAAAAATGTATTTATACCGGGAAAGGGTTTTGTATCCCTTTTTTTTCAAATTTCCATCTATCCATGACCCATACCAAAGAATAAAAAAGGGCAAAAATATTATGAAAGAGGGGAAAACGAAAAGGAAAGTATGGTTAGTATGGAAGTATAAAATGTAGTTTATGAAGATATCGAAAACAATTACTTTTTTTAAAATATTTAAAAAAGAAATTACATTTTAAAAAAGAAAAAAAGGGTTAAAAGGGTTGGGATTAAAGTTCTATCCCTATTCTGTGTTTTAATGATACTATAAATTTTGTTTGGGGTTTTTGGGGTCTGAAAAAATTTCATAAACTAAAAATTTGCCCAAATTTTTTCTTCATATTATGTGATTTTTTAAATTTCGAGTTTTATTTTCAAAAAAGATTTTTTTCTTCAATAAAAAAATTTAATAAACTCGGGCCTTTTTTAAACCCAAGGTATTTAAAAAGGAGAAAATCATTTCTTAAAATTTAAAAATTTAAATTTCTTTTTTCTTCATTTTTAAATTTTTTTGGGCCCGGGTTTAACGGGTGCAGGCGGGGTTTTATTTATGGGAATGTCGGGCGGAAAGGGGGGAAAAATTTTTCCGTAACATTTTTTTTTCTAAAACCTATTATTAACCCTCTTGATTTTTGGTATATAATATTTGGGTGGCCCCATCCCGTGGGATCCCTTTTAAGTCTGTTGCTTTTTCCATTCCTATTTGAAAAAAATTTGGGTTTTTAAAACCCGTAATAAAATTTTTAAAGGGAAACATAGCCATTTGGTTTAAATTTTGCCTCTAAAACCAAAGGATAAGGGTTAACCCCAATCGGTCACCCCAATTTTTTAAAATTTAGGGACCCCATAAAGGTTTCCGGGAAAGGGAATCAAAAATGATTAATTTTGTTCCCAAGTCTTTATTTCCGCAATCGAGCTAAAACAAAATTGTTTTAAACCAATAAAACTGGTTAGAAACGATTTACTGACAACATTAAAAAAATATATTGATATTTGTTAAACTAAAAACACTTTTAAAATTTGCCGTAGCCTTTTGGATTCCTCGGCGCATTTATTTATACATACAAATATATTTAGACAAAACGAGGGAAAGTTATATATGCGGTTTGAAATTTAATTCGGCAAATTAAAGATTTATAAAATTATTGGGATATATATACACCAACAATGTTTTCATTTCATTAAATGCTGACATACAAACACTAATGGGTAACTATAACAACGATAATAATGGTTCAACGCGCTGTGGTCTGGTTAATACGTCTATTTCAAACTGCTATATCGTTTATAACTTACCAAAAACATAGGAAGTGACGTACTCTTTTAAGGGCACATGCATATAAGCGAAATTCCCCCAAACTTTTCTGGGGGCTGGCCAAAATAATTATAAAATAAATATCAAGTTAATTTCAATCAAATTTATATAATACTCGTTTTCTAAATCATTTAAATTTAAAAAGTTTTTTTAAAAATAACGTAAATGTCTTTTTTATTCTAATTGATACATTCATAAAATTTATAGCTATGTTTCGCAATTGAAAATTGGGACAATTTGAACTGTTATAATGTTTATTCAAATTTATCTTTTCATTTTCCCTAAGGATAAAGTTTAGCAATGGGTTCTTTTGTTGTTGATCACTTCCCAGTTAAGGAATCTTTGCCTGCTTCTGAATCAATATCATGACCGGGCATCAAATTGTTACCACGGAAGTTTCCCAACGTATTCTAGGGACATTCCCTGTGCAAACCTTACTAGTCACCAACGCTTACCGTCCCTGCTCTCTATGAACCACTCTTTGAATGTCGTTTAACGTAATGAATAGAAATTCAAATTTTTTCCATTTTTTTTTCAAAAAATCTGTTGCTAACCCGCCTTGAACTCGAAATCGTTTTTGTTATGGAAGCTAACTGGTACAATATAACCTTCTGTGTGTCCGAGGTTTTGGTCAGGTACTTCTGTTAACCTTCGACCATGGAGTAAGTGGAAGGAGTAAGCGGTTCTGGAAATCTAAACGTATCTGACGTTCGTAAGAAAGTGGTCGGTTTCGTTGAGAAATGGCTCCAATCTCGGTAAGTATCGTCTGGCAGAACGCTACGAACGTAAACAAAGATCGACCAAGTACTTTCCTTTAAAAGCTGTCTTAACAAGTCGCAAATCATTCTATCCCGCATCCACCAAACCACGGGGCCCTTCCCACCGTTTTTGATATAAATCGCCATCATTCCCTTTAAAGCCCAAACTTTTCTTCAATGTCTGTGATTCTAACCCAAGGACCTTTAAAGTGTTCGATGCTGCTTTGGAATGTCGTTGCGTTGTCAGAATATTTTTGAGTTTTTTGCCGTGTTGGGCTTTCTTTAGGGATTTGTACTTAAATTTATTTTAGGCAGTTGACCGTCTGCTTACAAATCGCCGAAAAGCTTGGCATAAATGCTGTCTTCTGAAAGGCCCATGCACCGAGTTTTGAGCGTAACAGCTCGGGTGGATGCGCCATGTAAAACAAGCATACATAAGCCTTTGACTCCCTTAAGCCCAGTTTTTTCCTCGGACATAAAGTGTTCCCACTGTAATCTAAACCTGTAAACTGTGGAATGGTTTGGTGAGGCTTTCAACTCTCTGAAATGCTGGTTTAAACGGTGGTGGATCTGGTACACCTGTCAGGGAGTTAAGAATTTACTTTACGAACAAGTCGTACATTTTCTGGAGGTTTTTGATTTTACACATTGTCGTATCACAAGAAGTCCAAAATGTATGTCGTAATGTACATATAGTGCATAATTTAGGGAATGAATTTTTTTTTCATGTGCTAAATTATTATTAGTCGTTCAGAGGATTTTTGGGCGGGGCCCGTAAAAAAAGAATTTTTTTATTTTAAATTATAGGTGCATTTGTATTCACCCCCACACCCTCAAAAAAATTTTGGTCAAAGGAAAGGGGAAACTGTCCTTTACCAATGGACCCGGGTTTAAGTCGTGATTTCCCAGTTTAAAATTTTTTAAATCACTTCTTTTAAGTATTTATTGGGAAATCATTGCATTTTAAGCTTTATTTTTGTACGGTGAAAAGGCCCGTTTTCTTTTTTTAAGGGTTGTTCATACAATTGTTTTTAAAAATCTCATTAAAAAGCGTAATTCAACTATCCTTTTATAACTCGGGAAATCTGAAAATTATTTATAAAACGGGTGAAACCCCAATTCAGGGGGGTTGGGAAATTTCCGTTTTTTCCCCAAAGGGTGGTTTTCCTTGGGTTTTCCTATGGCCCCATTAGAAAACGGTGTCATGGAAATACCCTTAAAATTTTCCCCACTTTGGGCCTTTGGGGGCCGGGGGAGTTTTAAATTTTGGACCTTTTACCCATAATTGTTTTCTTTGAAAGGGATTCTGTTATGTCCGTAAAAACATCAGCTGGATTTTTTGGGTTAGGACGTTTTTCCTTTTCCATTTTTAAATTTTTGTTCTGGGTTTCTTTCTTATTCTGTATGAATTTTATGTTTTTTTTGTACGTTTTGGCTGTTTGACCAAAATAAAAAATTTTGTACCCCTTTTAGTTTTGTTGTAGATAAATTTTGCTAAAACAGGAAATTTACTGCGCCAAAAACCCAATTAGGTAAACGAGTTTTCTTAAACGGGGAACGGTGATTTTTCCAAAAATAAATTTTTTGATTCAGGTTTTTTTGCAGAAAGTTAGCACAAAGTTTGGGAAATACTGGAATCAAAAAAAACATTTTATTATGTTTCTGCTTTTAAAGGGCATTTGTGGGTTGACCGATAAAAAAAATTAGTTTGGAAAATTTTTGTATTTTTTTACATTTTTGTATAAAGTGCATTTGGGCGCATTTTTGCTGGAATTTCAGGAAAAATTTACCCCATGGCAACTTTTTTTCCCCAAAATTTTCTTGTAGAAAAAATCTTTGCACGTTCAAATATGGGAAACAAAAGTCCCCAAGGGTTGGTCAAAACCCTCTGATGTTTTCTGTAAAATAGCTGTTTAGTCACATTATCAAAAATTTGGGAATGTTTTTTGGGGTATGGATTCCCCCGTCTGTTTTCTGAAATACCAAAACATGCCAAACCCTTTTCGTTCCCTTATTGTTGTAAAGAAACCTTTTTTCTTGCCTTTTGCTTGAAAGCCAGGATTATTAATCCCCGCCCTAAATTTAAAACCCTTTGTAACTTTTAGGTTCTTTATCTGTATCCCTTAAAAATTTCCCTTTTCTGTGCAAAAACTTGTAATATGTTTCTATGTAAAAGGTTTCTCGGCTTCAAAAATTTCCTAAACCCAGCTATTTAGGTTAAAGCCCTAGGTGTTTGAGTAATTTTGGGGCTGAGTAAAAACCGGTAAGCAGGGGTCCCAAATGGTGTTTTAAAATTCTATAGTTGTTAGGGGGCGTCCGCATTTTTGGGGGTTGCTCAAAAAAGGAATCGGGTTTAAAGTTTTGTCATCTTTATGTTTTTTGAAATTGGGGGAAAGTTTTTCTAGTCGTAGAGATTGAATATTTTTTAGTCAAAACCCAAAACCTTTATGTGTGTTTAAGTTTTTTTATGGGGGGTAGAATCAAGGCAGTCTTTTAAAAACTTTTTTATTGGCGATTCCGGAAACGGCAGTGTAAAAACAATACAAATTTGGTAGTCGATTTTGAATTTTTTTGCCCTAATGATGGGTATTAATGCCCTTGGGTCGATTTTTTCTCGTTCCGTAAACTTTTTATAAAACCTACTGTTCTTGTTCTTGTTTAAATTTCTGGGTATTTGGTAAAAAAAGGGGATCTGGGCGGGGGAAAGTTTAAATCAAAGATTCTGTTTTTCTTTTGTCAGGGGGTTTAAATTTGCCCGGGAAAAGGGGGTTTGACCCTTTTTCCAAATGCGTTTTGGTTATATTTACCTCTGTAAATTTTACACGTTTTGTTTGTATTTTTTAATGGGGCCCGTATAATGTCTTCTGGGGGGGTTTTTTCCCTGGGGACTCAATTTTCCCCAAAATTGTCAATTTTCTTTTAATCATTACATTCAAATAAAAAATCTAAATTCCCTTTGGCCCATGCTTTGAACGGGCCCAGACAGTAAGTATCCAATACTAAAACTACCCTGCTGTATAAACCCATTCCTGGGAATCGTCTTTTTTCCCTGCGATATTCGAAATTTGGGTCAGGCCCGATCAATAAGATTTTTTCCCCTTTTTTCTTTTATGACGGGAAAGGTTTTTTAAATTTTCTTAGGGGGGATAACGAGTCAGGACTGGGGAAGTGAGTAGTGGGACGGGTTGGGGGGACGATCATCCTTCCAGGGGGTAAATTGCCCCTCATGGGTCAGAGAATAAAATGGCGTAGTTTTAAAATGTCGTATTTTTGGAAAAATGAATCTCCAAATGCTCCCAAAAATAAGGGGATTGGGTTTCCATTTGGCTGAACATTTAATTTTTGAAAATTTTTTTCAGAAAAAAAGGATCGTTTGTCTTTTTTATCAAAAAGAATGTTTGCCTGCGCGAACTGTGTCTGAGAACATACTTGAGCGACAGCTGTTTTTTAATAAAACGTCTGGTCGGGTTTTCGGATCTTGAGTGTAAAACTGTTGCCTGTATTTCAGCGGTGTATTCACTTCCGGTTGAAGGTAGGTTTGTCGGGCAAGTATCTATATTCGGCCTTGAATCTGGACAATTTTTCACATAATACTAGTTATGGTGTTTTCTTTTACATTTCAAGCATCAGAAGTGTGATCGGCAGTTAATTACTTGGTGATTTTTCAAACAATTAAAACATAAATGCTTCTTTCTTAATATGTCCTTTTAAGCCCTCACATCAAATTAATTTTGTGGGCAATCGTTAGCATGGTGATTTTTCATTGGCAGTAAATACACTTTCTCTGATCACTAAGCGTTTGATGCATTCGTCTGTGTATCATGTGTTCCCGGTTCCCAATTTTCCCCGTCTAGCCCCCGTAAAAAACGACGTTTTCCCGTTCTAAATGCTAATTAATTGTAGTCTGCCTGGCCCCCCATATATTAAAGTTCACGATAAAACCCTTTTTGAAAAGTTTCTAATGAAAAATTATGCTGCTTTTTCTCGTGCAAAATCTTGCAAATTTCTGTGGGAAAAGTTTGTCTATAATGACGGGTAAAAAAAAAGATTTTGTAGTTTTTTACTTTCCCTAGCGTTTTCCAACCCCGCAAAATTATAAGTCAAATTTTTTGGGGTTTTTTTCTCATACTGTGAAAGGGGAAATTTTTGGGGGGCTGGAAAGGTTTAGTAATCCCTGTAAAATCCGCATGAATATTTTTGAGTGCCCGAACCGTTTTCCTTCTTTAAATGAATGCTTGAAGTTTTGGGCATGCGTAAGTTGGCAAATCCTTTAATTGTTGAGCCGCACTGCTTCTAGTTGCGTCTTCAAATAATTAAATTTTTTGTACTTCTGTAACATTCGGGTTTTGCTGAACAGATGAATCAAAAGCCATCCCAAAAACTTTGCTTTTCGGGAATGTCAACCACTAAATACAGGTAGCGATAATTTCGGCAGTCTCTGATAAAGCGACGTATTTGAATGAAATGTACTCACATTTTGCAAAGAACTGTTACCATTATTCATATTATTATTTTCGTTTAAAGAACCACTTCTGTCCTCCATCTGGATTTGCGGTTAGTTGCTTTGCTATAGGCTTGAAGTTCTCATTTCTCATTTCCAGCGTCAATCTATATTCTTCACTGCTTATTATTTTATCCTCGATATCCGTTTACTTCCGTCAGTTCTATAACCTTTTCGTTTAAGGAATTAATTGTCTCTGCCCACTGATTATGGTTTAAAAATTTGGGGTTTAAAATTTCTATCATGGATAAATTCCCCTTTCGCTCTTTTCAATTCGTTAAGCTTTTTTTAAATACATCTTGTGATTCTCCATGATCCCCAATTAATTAAATTTCAAATGTTTCGTCACGGAAAAGGGTGTAGGGTATATATAAAATAAAAATTGTCCCAACAGGTTGTGTTTTTTTAAAAGTCTATTCAAAATGCTATATTTTTAAACACTACAAAAATGGGAAGTGCCCGATTTCCAAGTCAGCATACTTTGGGGCGTCTTTTAAGGCACTTTGCAATGAGGGGAAATTTCCCGATTTCATATTTCCCTGTATATTCTACAAAAAAAATTCGAAAAAATATCTACAAAAATCCCCCTTAAATTTTTAATCCGCTATAATATCCCCATATATATATTGTTTTACATCGGGTTTTAAAGTAGTTTGAGATTTTTTTAACTTTTAAAAAACAGCTTATGTATGGACAAAACTGCTACACAACTTTCCCTTTAGGTGTTCTGATACTATATTTTTAAAATAAAAAGATTGACTTTAAAACCGAATTTAAAAGGGAACGCTTTTTGTAAAATTTCTTAAAACATGCTTGAAATGGGAAAAAAGTAAAAAAAGTACAAAGTAAATTTTTTTTGTTATTGTTTTTTAAACGTAAACCCGCCAATATGGTAAATATGGAAACGTTCCAGCTACCCCTTTTTTCGGGCACGAACTTTACCCCTGAGTAGAACAAAAATTTCGGGTTAGGTTGATGCTCCTCACATGAAGGAATGAAAACCCCTGTTGGGGATTCGCAAAAGCGGGGGAAAGGAAGTGGTTTAAATTTTAAAGATTTTAAACCGCTCGGCCACGGACGCCCCTACTAAGTCAATATTTTACTATCATGGAATATTGTAAGTAAAAGTTAGACGCTTGTAAGAAAGACATTAACAATTTAAACAATTCAAACGTACTCGTCGGTTTTCTTTTCATACTTTACCTAGATAGGCGTGACGTAAATAAACACTTTTAAGGAAAGTTTACGCAGGAAAGACCTTCTTTGGCATTATCTTTGGCCGAAAAAGTATGACAAAGACTAAAAGACAATTACCGACAAAAATATAATCGTGAATATAATTTTAACTAGAAGTGGTAATAAACATTTACATTGTAAATTGTATTATTATTATACCCCCGCACAACAAAGTTGTAAGGGGGTATACTGGCATCAGCTTGTCCGTCCGTCCGGTCGTCCGGCCGTCCGTCGGTTTTTTCTTGTCCGCCCAATATCTTAAGATTCCTTTGACCCTTAGTCTTCATATTTGGCATGGAGGTTAGTCATGATAAATAGATGACCCCTATTGATTTTGAGGTCACTAGGTCAAAGGTCAAGGTCACAGGGGCCTTGACTTCAAAAAGCTTGTCCGCCAAATAACTTAAGATTCCTTTGACCCACAGTCTTCATATTTGGCATGGAGGTAAGTCATGATTAGTAGATGACCCCTATTGATTTTTAGGTCACCAGGTCAAAGGTCAAGGTCACAGGGGCCTTGACTTCAAAAAGCTTGTCCGCCCAATAACTTAAGATTCCTTTGACCCACAGTCTTCATATTTGGCATGGAGGCAAGTCATGATTAGTAGATGACCCTATTGACTTTGAGGTCACCAGGTCAAAGGACAAGGTCACAGGGGCCTTGGCTTCAAAAAGCTTGTCCGCCCAATAACTTAAGATTCCTTTGGCCCACAGTCTTCATATTTGGCATGGAGGCTAGTCATGATAAGTAGATGACCCTTATTGACTTTAAGGTCACCAGGTCAAAGGTCAAGGTCACAGGGGCCTTGACTTCAAAAAGCTTGTCCGCCCAATAACTTAAGATTCCTTTGACCCAGTCTTCATATTTGGCATCGAGGTTAGTCATGATAAGTAGATGACCCCTATTGACTTTGAGGTCACCAGGTCAAAGGTCAAGGTCACAGGGGCCTTGACTTCAAAAAGCTTGTCCGCCCAATAACTTAAGATTCCTTTGACCCACAGTCTTCATATTTGGCATGGAGGTTAGTCATGATTAGTAGATGACCCCTATTGATTTTGAGGTCACCAGGTCAAATGTCAAGGTCATAGGGACTTTGACTTCAAAAAGTTTGTCCACCCATTAACTTAAGATTCCTTTGACCCACAGTCTTTATATTTGGCATGGATGTTGATCATGACTATAAGGTGACCCCTATTGATTTTGAGGTCACTGGGTTAAAGGTCAAGGTCACAGGGACCTTGACAAAAAAGCTTTTCTTTTCAATTGCTAAAGAATGTCCTGTCCGCAATGTATTGATTTTGACATTTTCACATTTGAAGCATGTAGAATACATAACTTAGCACTGCACTGGCTTAGTAACCTCAGATTTGGCAGGGAGGTTGTCCTTGAGCTCTAAATGGCCACTGTTGATTTTGACAAAGTGGTATGCGGGGGTATTCACGCCATGATAGTGGCAGTTCTAGTTTGTATACTGATTTCAACTTTTATTTGTAAAATAGAGATTAAAAGAATCCCTAAAGAAAGTCCAACACAGCAAAATTAAAAATGTTGCCGACTCGGTTTGTATATTTCTGTGCCCTCCACGTCAATAACCATAGCATGTGTGCCACAATTGCTCTCAAAACATCGGAAACAAGAAATCGATGACCAAGTTTGTGCATAATCTTTAAATGTCATCTGTGGCATATAGTGTGTTCTTTTCAAGTTCGCCGTATCATTTGCAAATTTCCTATTTTCTTTTTCCTTCATGAATAATTGTCTAATTTATATTCGACGCTAGATTATAATGTGCAATGATATCATTCACCTGACAAATTAAACATCTAAGTTAAGCTTGATAATGCAATATCAACTGCGTCGTATCTGTTTTGTCCTCCTCGAGTTTCCAGTTCGCTATATTGTTTTCGATATGGATTTGAAAGATGCATATACAGAATGGAACGGGGAAATGTGAAGCATATTCATATGTATGACCATATTATCGCATGTTTCTGACAGAAGTATTAGACAAAAAAAAACATTTACGCTTTCCAATCTGATCTCGACATGACAATAAAAGCGACGGTTTTAGATAATTTTTTATACCTACAGTGAAAAAACGCTAGACATGCAAGGAATAAGAATAATAAGGGGAAGATGCCTATTACAGGACATTAACGTCGCGAAACTAATGAACAATTGTATATCCAGGTGTTTGTTCTTCTTTTTCGTTTTATATTGTTTTGTGGATATGATTTATCCTCATGTTTGCAATTAATGTTTTTTATTTTGGCAATTGTCTACATTGATTTTTAATGAGAATGGAAAGAGAGAGGGAGAAACTTCGATAATTCTTGAGGGGGTCATACAATAACAGAAACTCAAATCCTGTTTCAAGTTATTTGAGTATAAAATTGTTCATAACCTCATAAAATCAATTTTCAGGTCCTATATAACAGTCTTGATACTGACTCGGTTAATAGTCTTGCCAGTTGCTACATTAATATTCTAATATTCACCCTTGATCGCCGACTGGCTGAAAAGTTGATGTTAAATCTTTTAATTTTGCTAATTATCAGGAATTTAGGATATTTTTCTAATTTCAAAGAGGTAACGTTACCACAAAGATCGGAAATGTTGAAAAACGCATTTTATAGGCACCCCCCCCCCCTTGCATGCATAAATGCACACAACTACTTAATTTGAAATATAACGTCAATACAATACACTACGAAATAATAATCAAGGTATATTTGCCTTTGTAAGTGTATCATTGCAGATCTCGTCAAGAGAAATGATAAATGATTATACATAACATATTTTTGTTATATTCTCCGAGCATATGCATTAATAAATAGTACAAGTATGTCAATGTTATTTTTAATTTGTTACTAACTGCTTTTATCTATTTTGTATTATCGGTGAATTATGTGAATTGTTCTACAATGGTCACATTTACAATAAGTATTTCAAATATTATTAAATAATAGGAAAATCTCATTTGTATATTCCTACACAATAATTCAGGGAAAATTGATGATCTTGTTCTAATTGATTTAGCACGATCCTTTTCATAATGAAAAACGAGTTGTTCTATATCATTTCATTATCTGCTGTATAAATACATTTATATGTAATATCACATATCTCACTCTCACCAACAACATCCACATATAATTATTTCGCGGTTTACTGCCATGTATGATAATGAATAGTCTCAACATAATTTCTTTGATATTGCAGACCTTCCATTATGAACAATTTAACTTTAAATACTATAAAACGGATAATTGTTAAATGTGGTAGTTTCATTTATATTAATTCCTCACTACTCTCATACCAGCTAGAGTTTAAAGTTCCCTCTAATGTATCCAAAGTAGCATCATTTTGTACATAAAGTAAGTTTTTAATGATAACTCAATAATGATAACTAATTAACATAATTATCATGATTATTTCAGAAGGACAGTGAGATTTTCATTGCGGCAATAGACTTAGGAACTTCATTTTCTGGGTGGGCATTTGCCACTATTTCGGATCTGGAGCAAGAAATAAAGCCTAATATATATATTAAGTCTTGGTATTCAACATACACGCAAATTGCAACAGGAAAAACACCAACATGCGCTTTGATAAAACCAGACGGTCAAACCCTAGACTCATTTGGCTACGAGGCAGAGAGAAGATATGACGATCTAGTATCAAAGAAACAACACGAGAGTTATTTCTTCTTTAAAAACTTCAAAACTAGTCTGTATGGAAAATATTACCAGGTAAACATATTTTTAGAATTTGAAAAAGTATATACCGTTGTTTTGTACAAAGGTACATGTATGCTTTTAGTATTTATCATTTTAACATTCATTCATGGCGAATATGCTCGCATATCTCTGACGCTTAATTTTAATAAGTAAATAAGACTGTTTGGTTTACAGGTTATATTGACTCAATCAAAAATTTCATAAATAATTCTTGTATTAAATGCGTAAGATTGGTCACCCTTTTCGAGATTTGTTTTTGTGTCTAATCGTGATGAATGCATTATCAACATACTTTACAGCCGTTAAAGACTGGAATGAAGCTAATTGATCAGATGGGAAAGGTGCTACCAGCAATCATCGTATTCTCAGCAAGCATTCGGTTTTTAGCCGAGGACATGTTCACTGATTTAAAAAGAAGATTTCAAGATATAAGATCGGGAGATATTAAATGGGTAATCACCGTCCCTGCCATCTGGACAGACCAAGCAAAATATTTGATGAGGGAATATGCCTTACAGGTAAAACGTTCGTCCTAAATGTGCTTACAGACAAGTTTATCAGAACAAGCAAATAGAAAAGAATAAAATATATTAACAGTTTATTAAGGTACAGCATCATTCTTTGAAAAAACTGCATGTTTCCTCATTTCAGATTTTTTTTTCACAGACATATATTGTTTTAGGCAGGATTATCATCGGAGAGTATAATGATAGCACTTGAGCCAGAAGCTGCGTCAGTTTGTTGTCGACAACTTGATGTGTGTACTGTTGATAGAGACACGGGTGTTACATTATCCTCCCTGGAGGTTGGTAGTAGATACCTCGTGCTGGATGCTGGGGGTTTGTGTTTAGTACATGTTTACAGTTTAATTTATTTAGAAAAAATATTATTACATTTTTTAGATACGGTATATTGCATTTGAAATGACAAATTTTCCTAAAGACAAATTTTCCTAAAGACAATGATCAGAAATGGCTTAAAGTATTGATATGATTTTAACATGTATATCGGTACTAGAAAACAAATTCATGTGCTTCATAATGAGTTCATTTGAATGCGTTTATGAATGAATATTGTACTTACATTGACCAATCTATAAATAAGTTTGTAGATCTAAATTCATTTTCTACATATGAAAACATAATGCATTAAAATAATTTAAGTTTCATGATTAATTATCGAAAAATGATTGGTAATGTATGCAAAATATGTAACAAAAAGATTAAAAACCTGATTCTCGTTACGGACGGGAATAACTCGCTCTCGAGAAACTGTTCAGCGGAAGCTCGGAATTCCGTGTTGCCGCAGTGAACAATAAACCTTCAGCGCCAATGTTATAAAATAAAAGTCCTTTACCTATTTACCATGATACTGTTGATTTGTATATCATTTGTCACGTTAATTTTTGGTTCATGCATATAGTCCATATTGATATTTGCAGTAAATAAAGGTTTAATTGAAATGTCTATTTATTCTACATGTAAGACTGTATTTTTTAACATATGAAATTTTACTTGATCAATACCAAGTATTTTTTTTTATTTCACTTCTGTTAAGCTGTAAGAATTTCTATTCAGGTGGAACAATAGATTTAACAGTACATGAAATCACATCTGCACAATGTATTAAACAAGTTGTGGCCTCAAGTGGTAATATACACGGTGGTAATGCAGTGAATGATGAGTTCGAAAATTTTTTGAAAACAGTTTTATCTGATGAAAAGTATGAACGATTTAAACGGACAGAAACTGAAGATTGGCTGTACTTAATGGGTGACTTTGAAACCAAAAAGAAATCTTATAACCCCCAAAAACATGATCATGTAAATATGAGGATTCCGCAAAGTTTGAAAGATATATATGAATCAAGTAAGCGAAGTTCGATTACTAACGTGTTTAAGAAACATAAAAATTTAAAAGATGTTTTCGGAGAAATGGATGTCACTTTAAAAAGGGACAAGCTCAGTTTCCCGTCACACGTTTTTGGCAGGTTTTTTCACCTGGCGAGTGTAAAAGCAGTGCATGAAATCAAAAAGATGATAGGGAAAATAAATGGAGAAAGAATTTCCTGCATAATTATGGTAGGTGGCTTCTCTGAATGTATTATTTTGCAACAAGCTGTTAAAACTGAATTTACAGACATTCCTGTTGTTGTACCAATAGAGGCTTCGACTGCAGTGCTAAAAGGTGCAGTTTTGTATGGACATCATCCTTTTGTTATTTCTGAGAGGGTTGTAAAATATACATACGGTGTTTCAAGTATTGCAAAATTCATACCGGGTGAACACCCAATTGAAAAGCGTTTCGTCACTGATATCGGAGTGGGGTGCACAGATATATTCAACAAGCACGTTACTCGGGGAGATTTAGTCAAAACAAGAGAATCGCAATACAGGGAATGGTATTTTCCACAGTATCGAAATCAAAAGAAAGTAGAATGGGATATATGTGTATCAAAACTTGCAAACCCTAGGTTTACCACAGACAAGGACTGCCATGTTATTGGCAAGATCATCTTATACTTATCTGGCTCAGATGATATGTGTCATAGCCCGCTAGAAGTAACATTTATGTTTGGAGGCACAGAAATTACTGTTACTGCCGAAGAAGCGAAGACACGGAGAAATGTGAAAACAGTTGTCAGTTTCCTTGAATAAGGTTGACGTGAAAACAACGAACTCATTTCTTCGCTTACCATTCCGTAGATTACACTTGACAGATTTTAGAAAACAACGAACTAGAAATTTCACATACATCTAGATGTCTTCTAAAGCAACAATGATGGGAATATTGCAGTTTTGTTTTAGTTGTGTTTATATGTATACATTGTACACAGCACACAGAACATAATTGATAACTACCACAACCGTCATCAAATTTCATTTATTTAAATATTTCATATTTAAAGCTACATTAAATGAATATGTAAAAATATTTTTGCCGTCGGCCGAAAAACCAAGCATTCTACAGTTTCATTAACCTTTTTATAAGTATCGTTGTAAATCTCATCAAATATTGTTTGATAAGGATTTTAAACGGAAAACCCTACGGTAACACTAAAGTTTGTATACGAATTTTAACATGCAAATGTAGACTATAATCAGCTCGCGTTCCTATCCGGAACAGAGCAAAAATAAGATTTTCTTGTGCAAACAAACACACTTAACGGTTTAAGCTTCACGGTGCACTAGGCCTGGGGTTCAGAAAAAATAATCATCTCATAAAAAAGATTAACTTTTTATGAAAATATCGTTACAATGCGGAAATATACCGTTGAATTAGGACTGCTACTTATAGACATGTTTGTTGATTAAACATTGATGTACGGATGGTCTGAAGGCGGAGTTTCTCATGCAAACAGAAATTGTACTTCCGAATTCGCCACAATGAGGTTGCACATTTGTATGCCTATAAAACTCTTTGTGGTTGTCTGGACACCAACATAAGATCTGGAGTCGATATGAAACTCAATTTATTAATGAAATGTCGTTATTTCTGTTTTTTTTTTTTTAATTTATTAAATGTAACTTTAAACAACTGATGGAATTCCTGAAAATAAGTAACCATTTGACATCGTGTCATATTGAGTCAGATGTAAAGTAATCGAGTAACTCAGTCGATTACAATATACATCAACGTAACCTTAAGCATATAATTGTTAGAAATTAGCATAGAAATTGTTCTAGGATATTCCTAGCATGGCGCTCTCCTAAAATTGTTCTAATGGTTCTGCTGAGTTCAACATCTGGGTCAGGAGGGCTGAAATAGATTTTTAAAATAAAGTCTTTAAAAAAATCTTTTTCTCTGAAAGTGCAAGGCCTAAAGCTATGATATTTTGTGTGTAGCATTATCTTATAAAACTCTAAAACAATTGTTCAAATTATAGCCCTGGGGTCAAAATTGGCCCCGCCCCGGGGCCATTGACTTTCACGATGTACATATAATAACAAAATAAAAAAGTTTTTCCTTCTGACAGTGCAAAGCATAGAGAAGAATATATATATTTTGTGTGTAACCTCATTTAAATAGATGAAAATCTACAAAAGAAATATTCAAAATATAGCTTTGAAGTCAAAATTGGCTTCGCCCCAGGTTGTCATAGGTTTTCCTTGTATCGAGGGTTTAGCGCATGACTGTAGTAACTGTATATTTGTACATTTTACAAGAGAGGCAAACAAATCTTTTTTAAACTCTTCAACCTCATTGTAACTAAGAGGTAGGGGTTCGGGGGATGATTCTTTGTATCAATTTTTGTATATTAATTGTATATTAATTGTAATGCCAATAAGGTACTATTTTGTCCAGCAGTCCCAAGTATGATTCTCTTCTATGTTGACACTTTTATTACAGCAGAGGCACAAAATAGTCATTCACGATACTTCCTTGTATTGAAGCTAATGTAGGACAAAAATATTTTTCATGTCAAAAATCGAATTTTTTCTGGAATAAGAAATTACTGTACAGTAGTCATTTTACAAGTACCGGTACTGATACTGCGTCACTTACACAAAGTTGATTTTTTTCAAAAATTCCATTTTTTTGACTGAACACACTTGAAATTCTTTAACTTTATCTGGTTTTGTTTTGTTAACAGAAACATTTAATTTTTATTAAATGCATAATTGTGTTTTAAAGTATCCAGATTTAGCATGAAGCATGATAGTCTACAATTTGAAACGTACTTAAAGTATAACTTTTTTTTTTGGGGGGGGGGGACAACAAAACAATATTATAACATATACGAGAACAGTAAGCAAGTACATGTATTCAGAAATAAAAAAAAGGAAATGAAAATTGGAACATTTCTTGGATATTATTGTTTTATTTAACATTTTTTAAATATATCATGCCAATACGTCTGTCAGCAATCATGTGGCGACGCACTTTCGTCACTAGCACAAGTGGTTAGGGTAACGCTTTTAGAAATATTTATTTTGTATTGATTACTCATTATTTGTTTGTAGCTGAAATTTTAAACACTTATCCGAGAACTATTCAACTACCTTTTTTAAAGGGTAATTATCAGTGATTATCTTTCTTGGAAGCTCATTACGATGCGAACAAAATACTACCGAAAAGGTCTTTAACGTCTATTGCCAAATATCAATCTGTTTGTAATTTGAAAAAGGCTAATTAAGAATTTAATTATGTATTTGAATTCAGTAAGTGCAATAATTATTGGACTTAGGTCTAACAATACTGACATATTTTAATATTCATAAAGAATTGCCTTGACATTAATGATACAAGTTGCTGACGTATATACAGGTGAATAGAGCCTGAATTAGATAAATATGACCCGAAGCGCCAGTTGATCAGCAAGGCTATATTCACGCATATATCCATTCAGAAGCTTGTATAAATGAATAGATGTAACTCGGCAAATGTGAGTTTTCCCAGCTTATCCGTAGGTACAAACATTTTTTACCGTAATAGCTTTGCAATGCACTACCCTTCACAATAGAAAGGTAAACCTGTTGCCCTTATTTTTGAAGCTGTAACTTTGAGCATTTGTTTGTACCTAAGGATAAGCTGGTGAAAAAGCAAATATTCTTAAATCTGGAGTTAGTCTATTTATAATGATGCAAATTGCAATTGACAAAAAGTTTTATGAAACACAGCAGATTTAGACGCCCATCACATCCATGTAAAGAGACGCACATAAAGAAGATGACGCCAGACGTTCAACGCTGTTCAATAAAAAGTATGAAATCATCATAGCTGTATATCTTTTGACAATTGCTTTGAAGTAAAGACATTTAGATTGAGAAATATGCCATTAAAAATAAAACACAAATAAATTTATGTACACACAGTTAACCGTCTATGATTTAAAAATACATTGTTACTTTACGTGCTTCGGTTCTTCACGGTATATACAGCATAGTATACAAAGTGTTTAAGCCAATCAGAATTCGAGAAATTTATTTGCATTCTTTTAGTGACGGTATACATGTTGCTGATGATATATATGGGAGAATATTGCCTCAATGAGATGAATATGACCCGAAGTCCCAGTCGAAGGTTATATTTATAGTCTAAAATTTAATTCTCCCATGTATGCGGTCTGTATCTTGTATAACAAATATGGCATCGTATACAAAGTGTTTAAGCCGTAATGCATGTTCACAGAAATAATATGGCCTTGTATTACTTGTTTAAGAATATGTTTAGTATCATTTTCTTCATATAACATCAAAAAAATAGAAATTTATATTTTAACATGTTTTGTTGTATATATAACAATGCGTTTGGTATAATACTGATGTTTTTTAAGAAAGCGTAGTTATTTGACAATTGGCACATGCTGTAACCATTGAAATTGCCCATTTACAAAAAAATCTAACACGTCCACATATATTTTTTATTTTTGAATTCACTATAAAATTTTACTTGATACATCAGAAAATTTTATGCAAAACTTTCTATGAAATAAATTTTTCGATTTTTTTAATTTTTACATAATTCATGTTATTTTTCTCATTTTTGTTGAGTTAAAAAACATGATTTTTTTTTTAAATATGTTCAGATTATCGTTTTTACAGAACCCTTCGATGAATTTAATTTTATATTATATCTGCGTTTTCATTTATTCCTAACAATCATAAAAATCAGTTGAGCGATATAGGGGCCATCATGGCCTTCTTGTTTAAAGATACTTCTTGTTTAATATGGTAATTACCTAAGCTTTAAATAATTTCATTTCTGTCTTATATCGTTCAATTGGATATGAATGACTATCTCACACGTGTACAATTGCAAAAGTGGGTTATGTACTATTTTTCGTGCACTAGCATTTGCGATTTCACGAGGATGCATTTAAAATCTGAGCCCGTCGAATCTAGTATGGGTATGAAGCTGTGTACATTTCAATAGAATTAGTGTTGTTCTCCAAAATATATGATTATAATAATTACATCTTAATTTCACACTTTCAACATAAATTTGTTATTTAAGTACACAAATGATATGGATAAAGATTTGATAGCAGTTATTTGGACTAGGTAAATGAAAACGACTAATTACTACTAAATATCAAGCAAGCGTTATTCCCATGTTTAAGTTGATGTTTCTAGCTATATTAAATCAGAGAACAATAGATTTACTCTCGGCATAAGAGAGAAATAAATCTGTCTTTACACCATGTCTTTAAACTTTAACATTAACTACTCTCTAAAGGGAAAATACAGTTTTAATAAACATTTAATGTCTTATATTTGTTAACTGCGCAGTTAGCTAGAATTTTTGATACCGGTATTTGACAATACTTTGCCTCGGTTCAATTCGTTCTTGAACCTATTCTAATTTCAAACTTTATTAAATCAGATGACTATCTGTATTACATTATCTGTATTTTAAATATATATTAAGTTCTCAACTAATCGGCATACCTCGCCACTTTTCGTATTCATAAAGATCATTACAATATTGATTCGACCTCGATAATGGCTAGCATTATCGATTTTAACAAATCGATTTTAACAAATTATATTGAAAAGATATAAACTATTAATTTATAAAATACCTTAATTATATTAAATGATAAAACGCGGGTAGTTTATGTGACTGCTACGGAATAACCATTGTGAGGAAACAAAGTGTTTTGAACATGGCAACATCAACATGCAATGACTCGGCTTCAGATCAGGTTTGTATTATTTAATTTCATTTAAACATTTTACTTTCTGTTGTACACTTATTAACTGTTATGTTAAGATTCTACTAAAAATATGGGAGCATTATTGATCTCATGTTCTTCATTTGAAAAATTATTACAAATTGAAAGTAAAAGAAGATATATTTATTGATAATGTAGAGACATTTATTCACGGGCGACCAATTTTAACCAATGTTTTCTTATTATTCATATATTGCTTATCAGCGGTTCTTGTAGGAAATGATATGTACGGACAACAAGACTGGATTTAAAGTAAACATTATTATCATCATTAATACATATTTTAAGAAAAACAAAATTGATATCATTACATGTATAGCACGTTATCTTATCACACCAAAAGTACAGACTTTCATCACGTTATGGTATAAAGTCTCCCAAACATTTTTGGGAGACATATTAATTTGCCTTCGCCATCTATCTGTCCGTCTGGTTGGTTGATTGGCCGTCCGTCCGCATAAAGCTTGTCCTGTTTTCGTAAGTCAAACTGCTAATTAAATTTCAATGAAACTTCACAGGAGTGATTAGTACCATATCTTGTGTGCATATTCTTGGCACGTTCCGCTTCGCTGCACACAATGGCCACCAGCGATATAAAAAGGAAAATACTGTCCGGCTTTTACAGGTCAAAACTCTGGTGGGATTTCAATAAAACGTTCAATAAGTGATAAGTACTATCCTTGGTTGTGAATAATGCTGACATATTCCGCTTCGCTGCATTTAATGGCATCTACAGCTATAGACAAAAGAAGATTGTCCGACATTCAAAGGACAAACTGCAGGCAGGATTTCGACATCACTTCATGGCTTTCCAAGGTCAAACTGCTGGTGGAATTTTAATGAAACTCCACATGAGTGATCAGTATTATCTCTAGTTGTGCATATTACTGTCACGTTCCGCTTCACTGCAACAAATGGCCACCAGCGCTATAAATAGAAATGTCAAACTGCGGGTGGGATTTAAACAAACCTTCGCAGGAATTATCAGTACCTTATCTCGTTTCGGAAGACATATTTTGTGACAAAAAAAACACATTTTATTTCATATTTGCAAAAAGCTTAATAACTACAAGCAAATCATCACGACAAATGGCTGTGAGATCTTTTTTAACTTACCATTTGGAGCGTATTATTCACAACACATAGACAAGCGTAAAAGTACGGTTTAATTCAGTCTTATTTACATAAAAATGTGAATATTTAAAGTAAAAAGTAAACGATTTCGAGGCTTGTTACAATATACCATTTTCACAACGACCGGTATAAAACTGATATTTGTACAAGGAAGTTTAAGCATGCTTAATAGAAGATTATTTCAAATAATTTACTTTTCATAATATTTACATTAACATGTAATTGTATGCATAAGTAAACAACTATTGACATAGCATTAGATATTTACAATGAAGTTTAAGCATCTAATATAATCTATCTCTGGATACTGCCAACCCCTCTTACGAGTGTTAAAGGCAGGAATTTAGTGCACGTCGGATTGTTAGTAAAAGGTGAAGAGAAAAGCTAAAAAGAAAAGTCCAAACATTGACATGCTTGGAAGGTGAGACTGAAAATGTATTCTAGTCATGGTTAAAATGTTAATAGTGAAACAAGATGATAAGAGATAAAATAGTTTAAAAACACTGGGAGTAAGACTAGTACTGCAAACCCACCACTGCCTGTTTGAACTGACTCAGGTTGGGCAGGGTGGCAATGTTACTAGGAAGTTTATTCCATAGTATAATGCTATGAGGGAAGAAAGAGTACTTAATGGTAGTCGAGGATACCTGTATTTGACGTAGGATAAGGGATGCATATGTCTGGTTAATCTATGTGGGGTTTGAACATAAGTTGGGAGATTAATTGCAACTAGGTTATGGTAATATCTTATAAAAATTATCAGTCTACAGTCCAGTCTGCGATGTTCAAGGATCGCCAGCCCAGTTCTTCCTGCATGGCTGTGACACTAGAGTGAGGGGAGTAATCCCTTTTAACCCATCTTATTGCACGTCTCTGGATCATCTCAACTTTGTCAATATTGGTTTTAGTATAAGGAGACCAAATAGATGAGGCATATTCAACCTGTGGGCGGACCAGGGACTTGTATGCTAGTTCTTTTACTTTCTCATTTTTAGTGATGACATTTCTTTTAATAAAGCCAAGGGATCTGTTTGCATTGGAAGTTATTCGAGATATATGTGTATTAAATTTAAGGTCAGCAGATAGATCTAGTCCGAGATATTTAGCATTTGTAACAGACTCTAGGATTTGGCCATGGAGCATATATTTGTGTTTAATTATGGTCTTATTTTTGATAATAGTTTATGAAATGATTTAAATTACAAGGTATATTTAACCGATTTTATCTCACGTATTCACTTAAAAACATACGATCAATAAGGTGTAGAATTTATCAAAACCCTTAAAATGTAATCAATCACAGTTGTTGTCTGTACTCGTATACCTTATGCTGCCTATGTTAGTAACTTATAAAGTCCGTTTTTTATCTCTGTTTACTCCGTCACTTAAGCGTTTCTGTCAAATTTCTGTTTTTTGTTTTACTTGGTGTCATTCCGGTGGTTTTATGATGGCAGCTGTGTTCCTTGACATTTAGTTTTGTATTTATATTATATCATTTATGATTGAAGTAAGTTCAGAAACTTTTCATAAATTTATCGCATTCAAAATTATTTCGTAAAAGGAATTGTAAGAAGTCCTCAACTGTAATGTCAACGAATCATTTTTGTATGTTCTATTCTTATAGATATTGATACATATCTTTGTTTTTGAATCCCTCCTATATGGTATTATAATCTTAGGCATCTATTATTGGACTTAACAAATTGTGTTTCCCGCCAGAGAGGATCCAAAAGATTCGGAAACTATGCAATTGTCTTTCGGTGCAAATTCAGTGCAAACGTTTCCGCCGTGCGAGATGCTTTGTAAACTCAACTCATTTATATCTCTATATTCCAATATCAAACCCTTTGCAGGAACATACACATGTCTGCGCGTAAGAATCGCATGACTGTAAAGTAATACAGAGTTGTATAAAAGAGGATAAAAGAAGAATATTTAAGATGTTAAGAACAGGGGGCTGGAAAATTAGGGTGAGACATAATCAATGCAAGCTATGACTGCACTTAACTGCTCTTGAATAAGGAGTCGGGCAAGTGCAGGGGGGAAGGGGGTTCAAGTTGTATACAGTTCTAGGAAAGAAGGAGGGTTAAGATATAGATATAATTGTAATTTATTCTCATTATCATAAATTTATAGTCAAATATACGAGCACATTGAAAAGTCAAACACAATATGATATCAACTTTTTAGGATCTCCGGAAGTCGATAGTGTCATACAAATTAATATAAAAAATGAAAGCCCACTAACAAAGAAAAGCCCATTTAACATTGATGTTTTAGACTGCGCGCCCATATGTACATAGCTCCTGAAGTCAAAAATGCATACGTTTGAAAGTCGAAATTAGAGTCATTCAAATGTAACATAGAAGTAGTATAGAAACCCTTAATAAATCTTCAGGGTTTCTAATGGTATAGATAGTTCAGTCTACCACATGATAGTTATCTGTCTAACACATGACCTTTAAGCAGCCGACAGGATACAGTCACCTGTCTATTTATTTTCTCATTTGTACAAATTCTTTTAGCTTGATTAATCCCTCCCCTAGTAACAAAATCAAATAAAACTCATGACAAAAAAGGTCATCTATACAAAAAAAACTTACAAATTGTGAACTAAGGCAAAATTAAAAAAAACTGAAAGCGCACATTAAAACCCAAATTAAAACATCTTATGACCAATACTTAGAACAAAAACAAGAACTTGATAGCAATGATCCCACATACACACAAACTCAATTTTCTACTAAAAAGCTATACTGTATTCCTAGAAAAGATTTCGCGCATTTTAAGTTAGCGCTTTTCGCGGTAGGCATGATTTCGCGAATCTTGATAGCCGCGAATATGTCACTGAAAACAATTCTGCGAACATTTCTAGCTTCAACCAAATATAACATAAACGTGCAGAATATTTATTATAATCTACTTGCACAAAAATCATATAAACACAGGTGCTATAGAAATGTGTAAAGAATTATTTATGTTTGTTATTGATACGAGTTTGCACCCTGAAAATGGAAATGTCAATTATTAGTAATTATCATGCTTATTGACGTTATTCGCTAGTCACGACGTTTACAAACGCATTTACGGTTTGCGTACTTTAAATGACTTGGAATTTATTTGCTTGGAGTAGGTGTAATCCTTTGTTAAAAGTACAATAGCGATCAAGTGCTATATTGATAAACAGCTGTTATGTTGTTATAATGAAAGCGATGTACAGTCCGATACTGTGTAAAAGAAAAAGGATCGACATGTTGACGATAAAGTCTGTTATGATTCAAATGAGAATAAAAGCTAACGGGTCTGACTTAATCTTACTTATTCACATAGTGAAAAAGGTAAGGAAATATAAAATTGTCCACTGAACATCCGTCCGTGTACCACTAGTCAATAGATAAAAAAGGTATCGAGTAACGTAGCGCTTTAGGCGCGACTTGTCAAAAGAATTAAAAGTACCCAACAGGCAAGGTCATGCATCAAAAATGTAGCCTCCAAAAACTGTACTTTACGCCGTAGCGACTTAATATTCGCGGAATTCACGGTTACTACAAATCCGCGAAAGTTTGTCTTCGCGAAAATGCCGACGTTGTGAAAAACGCGAAATATTGTATCCGCGAACATTTCTAGGAATACAGTATTCACATTAATTTTAAAACATTTTAAGGAAGATTCACAAAATGTATCAACCATCGAAAATCAAACAACAATGCTATCTGAAATCAAACAACATTGGCAATGCCAATATACTGAAAAGGTAGTTCAGGCTTTTTCAGTGCACCGCTGTCACTAAAACAAACTTGCCTGCAAAAACTATATAGCTTAACCCCACAAAACACGGTACCTATCAGTAAAAACGGGATGCTGAAGCTTCTTTAGCCAACCTAAAGATAGACAAAGCTGCATGCCCAGACCTTATTCGGCCGGTAGTCCTCAAAGAACTGCTGAACAAAGCCATAGATATTATCAAAATACTGTTCCAAAAATCTCTATCATCTGATACTATTCCATCTGATTGGACCAAAGGCTTTGCTTGCCCTATTTACAAAAAAGAATGTGAAAATACAGACCCTGCTAATTACTGGCCTATTCAACCAATTTGTATCCTTTGCAAAACGCTAGAACATGTTTTGCTTCCCATCTATCTGCACACTTAGTAATTACAATATTCTTTTCGATCTTCAGCATGGCTTTAGAGAGAACAGTTCATGTGACACACAGCTTATTGAACTTGCAGACTCATCACAGCAGGCAATCAAACATCTTATCTCCTTTACTTTGCTTGACTTTGGCAAAGCATTTGTTTGAATAAATTAAAGTAAATTACTTCATAGCCTAAAAAACAAATTCTTAACTGTACACATTCCCTATAGGCCGGTACTAGATGATGAACACTCCACGAAAGTCCCTTCCTAGAGGCTCTGTCCTTGACCCTCCCCCTACCTACATTAAAACTCCACCTAGGCTTACTAGTAACTTACTTGTTGTTTCATACTGTGTTGGTGACACTTTTGCTTGTGTCCCTTGTTGTTTTCTTGTCTACGGAAAGTATCTTCCCCATTGCCTCTAGTTTTTATTTCTTTGATTAACCCCCCCCCTTCCCCCGGTATCCTGTCCCCTTCCCCTTTGTGGGCCTATTATTCTTTTCTTTGAATTCCTAATCAGTTACAAATTATTTATCATTTAATGATTAACCTGTCCGCGCTCTGTCTTTGCCCTGTCCTGTTTTTGTTTGGGGTCCGCCTGGGCTCCTTGCCATTGGTTCTTGTTGCTGGGTCATATGGGGGTTGCGTTCATTGAACGTCGCCTTTCCTTGTTGATCTCGTTTATCATATTTTACTAGACATATTATCCTCTCTCTCTCTCTCTCTCTCTCTCTCTCTCTCTCTCTCCCCCCCCTCTCTCTCTCTCTCCTCCCTCTCCCTCTCTCTCTCTCTCCCGCTCTCTCTCTCTCTCTCTCTCTCTTTCTCTCTCTCCCCTCTCCCTCTCCCCTCTCTCTGTCTCTGTCTCTCTCTCTCTCTCCGTATCACAAGTCGGACCAGCTGCACAGAAACGTTGTTACCCTGTCTGATCTTGACCATTCTAAACATTCTAAAAACAGTATTAGTTGATTCGTCTGGGCTCCTTGCCACTGGTTCTTGTTACTGGGCTCTGTAGGGGTTGCATTCTTTGGGCGCCGCCTTTCCTTGTTGATCTTGTTTATCATATTTTACTTATAATAGTTTTCATTCTTAATATGTAATAATAATGAATAATATTTTTTTTTTCCAAACTTAAAAGTTTTCAAAGTCTCTCACTGCCCTGATAATGTTCAGATATTTATTTTATCTTCTACCAGTTACTAACACATCCAACAATTCCTGCCTATCACACTCGCGGGAGGTTGTCACATGAACTTCGTGACCAGGTCTTTCCTAAACAGAAAGATTCCTACTTGATATCCAATAAGTATAGTTGCATCTCTATCTGCCAATCAAGCGTATCAAGGTATATAAAATAAAGAATGGAAAACATCGGTACAACGCGAAGGTGCTTCCGAATTAAATCCGAGTTAGCTAAAAGTGAGTTTCACTGTATAATGTCTCATCTCTTAGAAAGACATTCATCTCGATAAATTTGTAAACTTTTGCAGATAAGTAAATAGTTCCCCTCCATTACGATTATCCATTTCTAATTAAGATATGACCTGGAGATTTCACAAAGTTGCCACGCTCTGTCTAAAAAAGAAGCTCAAATCCGTGTGTTAGTCTGAACTCTTGTGACCTCACCTCAACGACAAAACTATCTCAGCAATCAAGAAACAAATTTGAAATGAATGCAAGAAACTAAGAAATTTATAACGTTAATTTCAGGCGGACAATAAGCTTTTTGTGGCCGCCATAGACGTTGGATCTTCGTTTTCTGGTTGGGCATTTGCCTCTATTTCGAATTTGAAACAGGCAAAAAAAACTAACATACATGTTAAGCCTTGGTATTCAACATACACTTCATGTTCCACTGGAAAAACACCAACATGCGCCTTGATAAAACCAGACGGTGAAACACTGGACTCATTTGGCTATGAGGCAGAAAGACGATATGATGAATTATTATCAAAAAACCAACACGAGAAGTATTTCTTCTTTAAACACTTCAAAACTCGTCTGTATGTAAAGTATAATGAGGTAATATTATTTTAAATTGTTTTCCTCCGAGTGATGGTTTATCTCGACGTATATATAATATATAATATGTTCGCGAGAGAGAGAGAGACAGACAGACAGACAGAGACAGACAGACAGACAGACAGATAGAGAGTGACAGAGAGAGATGGAGAGAGAGAGGGAAAGAGAGAGAGAGGGGGAGAGAGAGAGAGGGGAGGGAGACAGACAGACAAAGAGAGAGAGAGAGCCAGACAGATAGAGACAGAGAGAGAGAGAAAGAGAGAGATTGGGAGGGAGGGAGAGAGAGAGGGAGGGAGGTAGGAAGAAAGACAGAGAGAGAAACAGAGAGAGAGAGAGACTGTCGTGTCTATCGTGGACTATCTATCTCTCGGGTAAATTGAAAACTCGACAAATCCTCTGTTCCGCCGTAAACAGTTACCCTTGTGCTAGACATTTCAGTTTGTATCGGCAGCCTATGTAATATAATAAAAGTTTGAACCCACATTTTTAAATATATACTCTATCGTTCAATTTTTAATCTTTTTTATTTTTTTGTATACATGTATCGATTTTACAAAAATATTCTTAAAGTAAATGTTTCATTTAGTGTGCTCAAAAAATGAAGTTATATAAGGCCTTAATGCATTTTACAAAGAGTTCCTTTTGTCTGATCATCATATATGTATGTTACATTATGACCTTGTACTCTACCGTTCAATTTTTAATCTATTAATTTTTCATATAACATTTTTTATCCAAAAAAAAATACTTTACTATTAAAATATACGATCCATCATGTGTGCTCACGAAATGCAATTATACAAAGGATTGAATGCACTTTACAAAGGTTTTCTTTTACCTAATCATGATGAATACATGTCCATTTCACAGCCGTTGAACACAGGAATGAAGCTAGTTGACCAATTGGGAAAGGAGCTTCCAGCAATAAAAGTATTTTCAGCAAGCATTTGGTTTTTAGCCAAGGACATGTTTTCTGATTTAGAGAAAAGATTTCAGGATATTCGACTGGGAGATATAAGATGGGTTATTACTGTCCCTGCCATCTGGACAGACCAAGCAAAATATTTGATGAGAGAATCTGCTTTGCAAGTAAGGTGCTTTTCAAATAGATAGGTGTCAATTACCACATTTGCTGTCAGAATGGCATATTCACATACCTATGCATATTTTGATTAAAGTTATATAAATATGAAATATATAAAAGCTATATTATAATTATATGTATTATTAAATGTCTCAAATGTTTGACTTCTTTTCATTATAAATAATACTGTATTATTATCACCTACTGATCTTAAAACCAAACGGGATCGTCTAACAAGTTTTCATTAATCAAAACGATGACCTTGATATGTCCACTTCTGACCTAAAGATAAACAAGGCATGTTTTTATAACATGTATGCCCCCTTTCGGCAGTCAATTAGTCAAGTGATCAGGTAATAGTGACTGTCTTTTGACCTTGTGATCAAAAACTTAATAGGGATTATCTACTGATCATGATTAGTTACTAGTTAAGTGTGACCATTAAGGTTGTGCGCAGCAATTTTATGACAAAGTTATCACAAATCTTGCCAAAAGATATATGCATACATTTTATTAATTATGTAGGCATCCTTAATGACAGCCAATTTGGTATATTAAATTAGACCTTGAAATGTGTATACCAAAAATATTTTCAGTTTACTAAACGAAATAACAACAAAAGCAGCTTCATTTGTTGAGTTTTTGGTTTAAAACCGTTTTTACGTACAAATTAATTGAATTAAGTGACATTGAACTTTGACCGTTAAATCAATTGGGGTTATCAACTTGCCAAGACCAATGCACCTGTGAAGTGTAAATGTAAAGGACCCATGAGTTGTTTAGATTTTGATCAGAAAGCGTTTGTACCTGTAAGGTCAATAAGATCTTGACCTCTGAACCCTTAGCCCTAAACATCCATTGAGGTCCTTTCCTGACAAAAAGCTATTAATTTGTGAAGTTTGAAGGTCAAGGGACTATGGGTTGTCAAGTTATTGATAGGAAACCCTTTTGATATACAAGGTCAATGTGACCTTAATCTACTGGCCACGAAAAATACATATGCAGTTTGAGGGCCAAGGGCCCATAGTTTGTCAAGTTATTGATCTAAAACCGTTTTTACCTTTATGGTCAATATGACCTTCACCATTGACCCTTGATCAATAGAGGTCATCTACTTGCCATGACCAATGCATGTACGAAGTTTGAGGGCCAACAATCAATACGTTGTCAAGTTATTGATCGGAAACTATTTTACCTACAAAGTCAATGTGACCACCTGACATCAAAATCAATTTAGTTAATGTACAGACTCAATCAAACAGAGTCTGCAATTCTCTTGTAATTTTGATGTGATAAATGCTTCCGAGGGATCACTTTGTTTCCGGATTTTTTAGTTATTTTCATGGTCATGTCCCATAAATAAGAGCGTATTTTTCATCAAGTTATTGATCGGACAATGAAATATTTAGGCAGAAATTACTTACATACATACATATATACGTACAGATCGATACTTTCAAAGTATACTTCCTCTTTGGAAAACAACTTGATACGGATTAAATAAACAGATAAAATATATACCAAAACTAATCAAGTGAAGATCCAAACTATGCCATCTTCATTATGGTTTCTTGATTACAAATAACAACATACACATATCTGTTGTAGGCAGGATTATCATCGGACAGTATAGTTATTGCTCTTGAGCCAGAAGCTGCATCAGTTTATTGTCGGCAACTTGATGTGTGTGCTGTTAATAGAGACACGGGTGTTATGTTATCCTCCTTGGAGGTTGGAAGTAAATACCTAGTGCTAGACGCTGGTGGTAAGTATTTGGTCATTCGTAGCTTTTTAGATAAATAAATGTACATTACAAGCCGATTACATTACAAATGATATCATAATATATATTTTAAAACAGCTGTCCTCATACCGGTTTAAATTATTTACATGTATTTGTTTTTCATTATTACAACATAGTTTAAACACTGCAAAATTCCTCACTAGTGTATTTTTAATGTTAAAAATCTTTAATATCACATATTTTGGAGTGAAAACAAAAAGAATCTGATTCTATCAAAACTAATAATAAGATGTGTACACATGTATTGTTCAAAGCATAACGTACTCTTCAGGTGGAACAATAGATTTAACAATACACGAAATTGCACCTTCAAATTGTGTTAAACAAGTTGTTGTTTCAAGTGGAAATATTTTCGGCGGAAATGAAGTGAACAATGAGTTCGAAAAGTTCTTAAAAACTGCTCTGTCAGATGAAAAGTATGAACAATTTAAAAAATTTGAAACTGAAGATTGGTTGTTTCTAATGGGCGAATTTGAAGTGAAAAAGAAATCTTTTAATCCAGAAAATGCCGATTGTGTGAATATGAGATTTCCGCAAAGTTTGAAAGATATCTATGAAGCAGACAACCGAAATACAATTCTACGAAAGGTCAAAAAGACAAAAAGAATTGAAAAGGCCTTGAACCGGACGGTCTTTGGCAAAGACATTATTATCAAACGAGACAAAATGTCCTTCCCATCAGATGTTTTCGTCAAGTTCTTTGGACCTGCTGCAGAAATGACAATACAACAAATGAAAAAGGTATTTGGAAACATGCTTGGAGGAACAATTTCCTGCATCTTAATGGTAGGTGGCTTCTCTGAATGTATCCTTTTGCAGCAAATTGTAAAGTCTGAATTTCCTAACATTCCTGTTATTGTACCAGTAGAGGCGTCAACTGCAGTGCTTCAAGGGGCGGTTTTATATGGATATTATCCACCTGTTATTCTAGAGAGGGTGGTGAAATATACATACGGCGTTGCAGGTACTTCAGATTTCAAACCGGATAAACACCCTATAGAGAAGCGTGTCGTCACTGAGTTTGGAGTTCAGTGTAACGATATATTCTCAAAGCATGTTACTCGAGGAGATGTAGTAAAATTTGACACGCTGCACAAGAAATGGTATTTCGTACAGAATCGAAATCAGACCAAGGTACAAATTGATATATGTGCATCAGAACTTTCAAACCCGAGATTTACTACAGACAAAGACTGTCATGTTATTGGTAAGATCATCCTAGACTTATCTTGCACACATGATATACGTAATAACCCAATAGAAGTTACATTTGCGTTTGGAGGCACAGAAATTACTGTTACTGCCGAAGAAGCGAAATCAGGGAGAAAAGTTAGAACAGTTGTCAGTTTTCTTGAATAAGATTGATACGATTGACGTGAAGAAACAGAATAATATTTTGTCAACAACACTTCCGTGGATTAAGGTTAAGACTTATTAAGCAGAAAACAAACTAGATATTTCTAATGCCATTGAATGTATTCGAAAGTAATCTGGAAGTCTTTGTTCAGTTGTGTTTGTGTACATAAACGTAGATAATAAATGATAACTGTCCCCTTCCCCTTTGTGGGCCTATTATTATTTTCTTTGAATTCCTAATCAGTTACAAATTATTTATCATTTATTGATTAACGTGTCGTTGCCCTGTCCTTTTTATGTTTGGGGTCCGCCTGGGCTCCTTGCCATTGGTTCTTGTTGCTGGGTCATATGGGGGTTGCGTTCATTGAACGCCGCCTTTCCTTGTTGATCTTGTTTTTCATATTTTAGTAAAATCCACGTATTCAAATATATAAATACTGTTGGTAGAATTGCTATGATAAATTTCGATTTTTCACCTTGTCATCTTGAGTCAGGTGTCAAACATCTGAGAAACATTGGTATCAGCTTAGCCTTTTTATTTCACAATTTAAATACGATTTGTTATTATTCCAAATTCATGATTATTAGTGACGGATAGTAGTACAATTTGATAGTAAGTTACCTCATTCTTGGCACCGACCTTGAAGTAAAAAAAAAACAGAACTTCAACAGGAAGCTAAAAATATAATACGGAAAACCCAAACATTTAGATTTGTATAACATTATTTCTGGGCGCATACTATGATAGAATATTGAAAATTGAGACAATCATCATTAATCGTAGGTTTAATAGTACCTAAATTCGTAAGCATGTTTATCGGAAGTTAGGGTCTAAATCATATAGTTCTGTTATTGAGTGTGAAGGCGTAGTCTTTGACTTATTGCAGCAATTATTTGTTAATATTCAGTGGTATGGATGAATTTCAAACAAACCTATGTTTTCCTAAGATAAGGATATTTGAAAATATCTAGCCACATATGTTTGCTTATTGTATTTACTACATGAAAGACGAAATATTGTGTAACACATATATGGTATTCATTTTTATATGAATTTGCAATACATTGGCATCGTATTTTAGGCACGACAAACCATTGTATGCCATTTAAATGATATTTTTAGTAAATCGACACATAATATAACATTTACAACAAATAAACCACCTACATATTGCATTTTATTTCGTTTTTAAAGACCAAAATCGTGTAGTTAGTGTCATTTGTCACTTGAAAACCATTTTGTATAAACTCTCTTTTCTTTTCTTTTTTTCATTAAAAGATGTTTTTTTGTTTTGTTTGTTGTTTGTTTGTTTGTTTTTTTGTTACTGTCACTTGAAATGTAAAACTATGTAAATGTAATAGTGTATATTTGTGCTACAGATGCAATGCAGTAAAATAGTAAAACAATGTACGCAAAATTTTAATTTTTCAATTCAGAATTTGTATTTAACACAACTGCCTTTTTAGAAAGTAAATGCTTACCAACAGAGTAAGTGGGACATTGCAAAAGCACATGTATTTTTTTTAACAGAGTCTTTACAAAACAGACATACACCTTTAGATCTAGGTAATATTTTAATTACGCCGCCCAGTTTCTAGTCGAAGTGGTGCTACGCAACATCTAGATTTTGCTAATGCAGATCTATGTGCATATGGTAATTACAATATGTTTTATCCTCATACGTATTTTATTGTTGATAGAACACAATTTACAGTTTGTATTTCTTATCGAAACAATGGAAAGTCTATTTGAGAGAATTATAAAATGCATGTGTTGTTTAATAATATAGATAAAAAAATTCTTCAGGGGATATATATTGGCTACATCTCGAAATGGATAGATCTTCTTCCTTTCGATGAGAAATCTTTGAAATATAGTAATGAATAATTTCGATCTAGAACTTGTATTTGACTCTAGTGGATTTTGCAAGACAACGATCCGACAAGACGCGAAACCGTTTTCACACCCGGCTGCCGGAATAGAATACCTAGCTCCGGTAATTTCATTCCAATGTACTTTACAAATATAGCTCTCAAAGAACTAAATTGTTGATAAAGAAAGGACCGTATAATAATGAAAATAATAATAATAATAACTCATTTGAACAACATATCAATCTTGCATAAGGCCCTCAACAAGGAACAATATAAATTTAACATATTCAAACTATTTAAATACATATATGTAAAAACATACAGGTGATAAACAACTTTTATACATCGATGTGTGATAATATCACAGAATATAATCAGGAAGTCCGTTCCAAATACAAGTTCCAGAATAAATAAAAGACTTACGAAATTGTTCAGTATTTGGTCTAGGGCGTTAAGTTAAAAATCAGATGATGAGTATGAACAATTTGATGATAAAACGAAATTATTTAATAAATAAGAAGGCGCCTGATTATTCATTATTTTAAACATCGTAAAAACTTTTTTGAAAAACAACCCTCTGTAAAAAGGTAATCCAGCGTAGTTCGCAAATAGTTCAGCAGATGGACTATCATAATCTTTGTCTAGAATTAGTCTTGCAGCTCTCTTTTGGAACTTAATGAGTTTATCTTCAAGAAAATACGTACAGTTACCGTATACCGTTTTTTCATGAATTCATCTTACGGTAAGCTGTAATCACGCTTTTTATTGACAGAGTACCATTACGCGATATTGGAACCTACTAAAGCCAGATGAAGAACGGGAACCGGAAGTAGGGACTCGATGAGGCTGGACTGTCCATATTATCATTGAATGTAAATGGAATTAGTAGATCTAAATTGGAGGACATTGACTTTATGAAGAAACTGTGTAATAATGATACTATGTTTTGTTAAAGACTTTGGGTAATAAAATTTCTAATTTTGATATAGATGGGTATACAACTTTTAATTTCTATCGTAAATTTCAGAACCTGCGAGTGAAGCGATCTAGTGGTGGGGTATAAGCATTGATTAAAAATGAAATAAGTAATTTGGTTAGCGTTGAAAAGAATCATTTTGACACTTTCCTTGATTGAAACTTGATAACATGTTTTTTTAATCTTACCGATGACATTTATTTAGCTGGTGTATATATTTAGGTGGAAGGTTCCCCTGTTTATAACTTTATCAGTGGTGATTTATTTGAATTTTGCAAAACAACATTTTTCTTCATGAATCACATGGCATTACATTTTTTACTGGTAAATTGAAAGCACGTACATGTTATGGAGACCGCAAGGATTATATTGTTTGTGATCGTACCGGTAGTTTTACAGATTATGATGATTATTCTCCGGACATGCCTTTCGAACATGTGTCCAAGGACCGTCTATATAATAATTCGGATATCAAATTATTAGATGTGAGTACGAATTCCAAATGATTGGCTCTGTCGTGATTATGAGATTGGAAACAATACTTATAAATGTTCATCGGGATCTAGTGTCAGTGACTATCTAAAGTTTTGGTGCAGTAAATTATTTTCTACTTTAACTTTTCCATTTCGTAAGGTATCAACTTCAAACTTCAAATATGTTATTTATCATTAACCACATCTTATGCGACAAGATACATAACTCTCGCACCAATATTTGCAGATTTATCTCCCCTTGACGTATAATTGTTCTTTAAAATATTATGTTTTACTGTAACTTCTTTATTTCCCTAACGATCAACTTCATACTTCAAGTATATGTTCCTTATATGTGACAAGGGTCATAATTCTAGCACTAATATTGCAAAAAATTATTTCCTCATTAACTTAGATTTTTTTTACTTGAAAAATGTTATTTCTTCATTACAACTTCTTAAGTTTTAAAGGTATCTTACTCAAACTTCAAATATATACTCCTTATCATCAACCAGATCTTATTTGACAAGGTTCATAACTCTTGAAGCAATATTTCCAGATTTATCTCCCTTTGAACGTTTTGAAGAAATATGATAACTTCTTAATTTAAGGTTTCTTCTTAAAACATCAAATATATGTTTCTTATCATTACACACATGTTGTGTGACAATGTCCATAACTCTAATGTGATTATTTCCAGAATTATTCCCCCTTAAACTTTGAATTCATGTTAACAACTTTAACTTCTTGTTATAAGAAGAATAAAATTTATATCATAATTGATTTTGTCTTCCTTACTGCGTCCAGTATTTAATTAGTCGAGCTTCGCTGTCTCCTGTGACAGCTCTTGTTCTATTAAATGCGAGGATAATGATATTTATTATGAAAGCACTATTTGACGATGGAATGGTGAGTTACAGAACGAATTCCGTAAAGGTCATATAATGTTAAAAAACTATTACCTAAAATGTTGATTTTAACGTAAGATTACATTTTAATTCATGTATCGCATTCTTTTTAAATGTGAGCGGTGTGGCAGATCCATTATTTAGTAAATATAGAAGCATATATAATACGCCATGTTCCGATGGTAAACTATGTTAAAAGGCTAAAAAGATTGATGAAGATTGAAACGTTCAAAAGAGGTATATTTAGGTTCTGCATATAAATATAATATTAATAAAAAAATAATGAAAATAGAATAGTATGAAAACAATGTGTACTTATAAACTGATTGCTAAAAATGATAAAAAAGAAATGTAGTTATGAGATAAATATGTCAAGAGATATTGAACCCCTGCGTCACTGTTAACCTAAAAAGACGATACGTAAAAATAATATTCCCATAGAAGATTTTGTGAGCTCTTTTTTACCCTAAGTAACGATCTGCCAAATGCTTTGCATACCAAACGTAATTTTACATGTTGTAAAAAAATTATATCTTATAGTATTGATGTAATGTACGAGGAACAAGATGAACCTTTAGCAGTTGGTGAAACAAATTGTGTTAAACGTTGTTTAAAGAAAAATAAGGCTTTTGAAGTAATTAGTCAACTACCGGTTTAAATCGGAGGGGACTTGAGATGTACCCTCGGTTCGTCTGTCCGTCCGTCTATCCGTCCGTCTGTCAGTCCGTCCGTCTGCAAAATTGGATCCCGCGATAACGCAAAAAGTACTAAAATAATTCTTATGAAACTTTATATATGGATAGATGGCAGTCTGGAGATTATGCACGTCTTTTTTTCTTCCTATGTTGAAAACTTTTGTTGCTATGTCAACAAATAGGCTTAAATTATTGCAAATATAACATTATTTGTCATTACTCAAAAAGTAGAAAAAAAATACATGAAACTAAAAATATATGTTTCTGATCATCAACCTTATCATACGTTTACAACTCTAGCACCAAAAAGAATCAGAATTACCCACCTTGAACTTAGAATGTTCATGAAAAAATGATGATTTGTTTTCTAACTTCTTTATTTCATAATGTATCTATATAATGTGACAAGACAGACCGATTAAATTTATAAAAAGTAAACGTTAAGATTTGTTCAAACATTTCTTTGTTTGCTTTTAGAATAAGGAAAAAGTCGAGTGTTGCACCGCCCGGCGGTGGCTCTTGTTAATAAGTGGATTACTATTTACTATAGAATCACAGATCATCGAGATGTGAACTTCCTTTGGATTTTCATTAGAAACAAAATATGGTCAAGTTATCCACAATATAATATATGTATTTATCCTTGTTTCTACACGTTGTTATTTGCACGAAATTTACGTGCTGTGTTGATATATAAGCTAGCGGTTCGTTAAAGTTAATCATTCGAGGTCTTCACATTGCATTGCATAGTCAATCACGTTTACAAGTTTGATCCCCCCTCCCCCGCCCGATCATATTCATTTCAGTTTTATAAGAAACATTTTTAGGTTAGTTAGATTGATAATTAAATTGTACAGTGTTTCTTATTATTTGGGTAATTTTTCACTTATCAATTTGAATTAATTAATTAATTAGAATATAAGATCTATTTGTTACAGAATTCCATATTTTGAGAATTTTCAGATTCATTATTATGGTTATGTATGTACTGGATACGATTATGTGTTATGTTTCGATATATTATATTGATGTTTAAATATAAAATGTTAAATAGAATAAATGCAATGTGAATGACTGGTTCTACATATGTGTTTGTGTTATATTTTCTTAGTTTCTGTAGAATAAGGGATAAATGATTTATTTCCGTTTGAGCGAAAGCGAATAAGGAAATAATACTTGTTAAACTGGGTACTTGTTTATTGATGCATACCTTTTCAGAGAGACCTATGTAGATAGTATCGTGTTTCCAAGTTAAAGTGCTGTATGTTGCAATACACTCTGTCTTATCAAATAATTTCACTCTGTCTTATCAAATAATTTATTTACAATCATACCAAAACAGAT